TGCCTATATTCGAGTGTCGTAAGTAAAAATTTCAACAGGTGAAGACAAGCATAAAAAAGAGTTGAATACTGGTAATTCGACACTTCAAATCCCGGCGAAGATGTTACACCCTATGTGTAACATGATTAAGCTTTACAAGGCATCCATCTCCTTAGGTAAACAGCCGTCGCTAGCTTTGCCATAATCCAATCCAATTCAATAGGTCTTACGACGTCGCTAGCTTCGCCATAATCCAATCCAATTCAATAGGTCTTACGAAGAAATCAGACCTATATGTGTTCAAACAACTCTTACCACAGCAGGTAAATTTATAACACTGTGGGATAGTTTTAACGGTCATAAATTTGGTTCAATACTGCAAACGAATGAAATGATGAATCAGTGTGCTAACTGAGAAATTTTAGAAAACAATGGGATTCTTCCTATACAGTTTGATAGATTGTCTTAAAATAACTTATCCAATTTACATCATAGCAATTCTGTGGTTCACGCACCTAAAACCATTATGGATTGGTATAAAAAGAAGGATGGAGCCTTCGAATACAAGAATGGCCCACTAATTCACTAAATTTAAGTTTTGCCATGAATAAATATGGCCCCCTTGAACGAAAGGTAGAAGCAAAAATGTAAGAAGGTTTTATTATGTTACCTTTTTGTTTCCCGACCTAAGTGAGGAATATTTATTTCATGTTTCCATCCTTAGAAACCATTTTAATATTTGTAAATATCATTTGTTTCCAGCTTATTCCCTTTCTCTGCATTTTAACCTATAGTATGTTCCCCATTTTTTTTTTAAATTTTTTAACCTTGATATATATCTTTTATACTCTTTCCTCGTTACAAACCGATGACATCATTCCTCAGGGAAAATAAAACATCTGATAGAATCAGTAAAATCTTTTCCTTACATGGTAGCATTTTACGTCATTTCTCAAATAACAAAAATTTATTTAAAAATACAGATTATCTTTCAAGAAACTGCTATTAGATTTTCCGAAATTATTCATATTCATCACCCTGCTTTCTCAGCCGCTTATACGTGCACTGATTCGGAAAGATGCATCTACGTAACCAATTTTGCACACATTTACAGACCAAAGAGAGATCGATATTTTGATAATGTGCGATGCAAACGATCACAAGAAATGTAAATAATTCATACGCTGTAGACTAGGTTTTTATTGAATAAAATAAAATGGAATGAAAGATTTAAAGAGATAAAACAGCATTGCGAAGTCATATTTCAGGGTAAGCACGTCAGCAGTACTTTTTTGTTAATATAATTTTTATTAATAACAATATAATTTCACACGTCAGAAGTCAGGTTTCGGACAGCAGGACTTTCCCATCAAGTTAATGAATTCGCTTCCATATAAAATTTGTTTCTTGACAGTTTGAGTGTTATGAATGTCATAAGTGATCCTCAACAAAAGCTGATAACTTGACCAATCACACGTATTGCTGTAGATGTCAGTTTTCTGTAAATGTGGTTTATGTATATAGCTTTAAATAACGTAGCACAAGAATGCACTGAAAATTCTTATATATCTACTTCTGGTTTGATTAATTCGACACCAGTTCAAATGGGGGTTAAAACCTCCGCCCCATCCATGCAACAAGCAGGCAGAAAGTAAGATAGAGGAGGTGATCAAACTATGCTCAGCAAAGGTATTAAGAATTTTTTTTTTGCCCCTGAAAATTAGATCATCGCAAAATAATTTCAATAGCAAACCAAAGTGGTGAGCAGAGGCTTCATAAAAGTGGAGTACACGAACTGACAACTCGAAGACAACGGAGCAGCAAATAAGTGTAGTTATCTCTGACAACAGTAATACCCAAGTAATTGAACAGAGTAACAAAGGTACTCCCTTGATAGGTACTATACTAGGTATAATAGCAGTTGCAACTATTCCAAGCAAATCAGTTAAGGTACCAGAAAACTGAGTTACGTAACTCCCTACCCAGACTAAGCCACATAGCGTTACAAAAATTGAAAACCAACATTAGAAAAATAGCTCACACCGTAGAACAGTAACTGGACTGTAAGAGCACATACTATTCTAATGTAAGCTTATTGCTACCCATTTTGCATGGACTTATTAAAAACTAATGTTGTTAAGCAATTAAAAATAACAGAGAAACTCCAGTCAATGTGTAACTGAATTACTAGTTTACTATAATTATCTCAGTAACAGTATTGTAAATATGAAATCAGATAATGTTTAAATGTACACATAACTGTCTTGAATACATCTAAGTACCTCATGTAACTGTATACAAGACAATGTTTGTAATTAACATTCCATACTTATACACAGGCTTTGTATGCCCATGTAATATTTATTATATGGAAGAAATAATCCCTTCTGCCAGGATGACTATTCATATTGTTAAGACAATAAAGTCAGGTCAGTGGTTATCCCAGGCGACGCTCAGTAGGTTATAGATTCAGTAGGTTATTCCTCGGAGATTAAAATGGCTGCATATGATGTCCAGCAACGAATAAAACTCGTTGAGTTGTCTAGCCCAGTGAAAAATTAGTTATACAAACTCAGAAAAAATACCGGCAAAATTTTAATGCAATTGATGAGTTATTTTTTTAACATTTTAATTAATACTGAGTACCTCCAGATCATAACATGAATCGGAACTTAATCCCCTACTTTCAAAGAAATATAACAGTCTGAGGGTCTTCAAGGAAGAGGTCCTAAGGGCACTGCGCACACTTTTGCAGCAAACTTGAATAGACAGCGAGTCAAACACTCAAAAAAACTCAATTAAATTACTCATTACTCATGCTGGACATCAAACGCAGCCATTTTAATCTTCAAGGGATACTCTATAAACTATAAATAAACCAAATTTAAAAAAAATCTGAAAGGTTTCAGATTTTAAATTACGTCCAAAGGGGCGTTTTTTTAACATTTTGTGCGTTACCTTTATTTATTAAATATCACGTTCTTCGCATTTAAACCATAAAATCAGTTCAAGAGCAACATCGCAAAATGATTTTAAATTGAGCATATCTTTAGAATTTCCGATACACAGTCTCACGCGCTGGAAATAAAAATGTTTTTTCTGTACAACGTTGCCATTGCTCGCTTTGAAATCCTTGTGTTTGTTATTCAAAAATGCGTTAAAGTTTTGCCAAATATGAAATGGATAATAAACAAGTTGCAAATTTTAAATTTGGGCTTCCAGATGCCCATATTCGCAGTAGGATTACGTCATTCAAAAGCGGATGGCTCTAGGTACCGTTGTTTTATCACAATGCGAGAAACATACATACATTTATGCAGATACTTCATTATTTAATTTCTTTAAATATAATACAGTGCAATAATATTTGGTGGCAACAATTTAAAAAGTGATACAGCCTTTTAAAATTTTCAACGCAAAATGCCAGAACGAAAATAATAGTCCTTCAGGGCAAATTGCCCCTTTGGACTAAAAAGATTAAAAACGAACAAAAAATTACTTTTTCAAATTCTTCAATCTTTGACTGGTCACCCAGCTTATGCCTGCATGGATTCCAGACCAAGCGCAAATACGCGTAGAATAACGCACACGCTGACAAAGGGTTAAACGGGATATATTAGCGATTTCTTGTTAAATCCTTTTCGCACTGTGGCCTTATACAAAACAAAACAAAAAAAAAAAAAAAAAAAAAACTACAAGATAGGCAGACACTTTTATTTTACTTAGTTTTTTAGACCTCCTTTGACATCGTAGATGGTACTTGGAGTATTTAATTAGATAAAGGTTTCTTTAGATGACAGGCTAATCAAAGGTAACCTCACGTTTTGAATCCGACAAAGTTTCATTGGTTCTTTTCGCAGACATTTTTTTAATTAGTAAAAAAAAAAAAAAAAAAAATAGTTTCCCTGAAATTTTAACTACTTGAGCAATCACTTTCATTTTTACATGTTAATTCTAAGTATCATTTGAAAGAAGTGTTTTAAAAAAATCCTTGCCGAATTTATGCTGCGTCAGTGAGGTTCTTAGGAATTCAAAATCAAGAGAACAAGATAAAACTATGAATGACGAAATTTATCTTCTTCATATTAAAACAATTCGCTGAGAGAAAGAAGGACTAGCGCTACGAATTGCAACGGAAATAAAAGAAACCGTTTAAGAACTTGTTTTTTAGGTCACACCACTATGCCTCGCATGAATGTGGAATACATGATCCAATGAACATTCTCCAGTCTTATTTTCTATGAAGTCGGAAAATTAGACGAAAAAAAAAATTAACAACAGAAGCGCAAAGTTTCCTCTATACATATTCTACTGAAAAAGGTTAAAAAAAATTATTCGAATTAACGAATAAAAAGTAAAGTAACTTGAGGTATTATTTTTACTCATCCTTCCCTCAGTTTCGACATAATCTATGTTCCAAACCGGATATTATAGGATATAAAACAAAAAATTCTTAGTACTCGTTGCATAATGTCTGAACTAGGGGACTTCCATTAAATCTAATAACAATCACAAATTTAGCTCTCTTCCACTAGAAGCTGTTTAACCTAGTTTAAAATCTACAGCTCACTAGAGTTAAACTAGGAATTTTACGTATGAAATTGCATTCTTCTTTGATATCCTGTTTATCAAACAAATGATTACCTAATAAACAGAAAATGTGTTTTAAAAAAACAACATTCGTGGTGAAAATTCAGACTCGGTAGTTTAAAGAAAAATAGCATTCTTAAGGAAAGAGAGGAAAATGAAAAGCTTTAATTTTTCAAGATTCTCACGAAAAACTGCAACTCGTGATAATGTTAACTAAAATATTACAATCAGATGAGCAAAAGCAACTGCTTAAATTTTTAGAAAAATGCTTTTATATATATATAAACGAAACCTATCGAATTTATTTACGTTCCTTACTTTCAAGTGTTAAAATATGAATGTCATTTAAAATTCCAATGAAGAGTTTAGCAGCAGCATATCAGCCTTTTATACGGTCGAGTAATTATACCACATTTCTTATTTATTTTTAGAATTTGGAAAAAGTGTTACTCTTCCCGTGGCTTTACGCTTTCTCTATGACAGGAGTGTGCATCGTGATTTCTGCCTTCTACCAAGCTTACATTCGATGCAGCTCTCTTTCTAAATCCGTAGAAACGTTACCAGGTAAGTTACTTTTTCACCTATTCTTTATGCAGCCTTTATTATTAAAGACACAACAGGTGTCGTTTTTATGAATAATTTATATTAATTTAGCGCGAAAAATATTTGGCCCATTCTTAAGACAAATTGGCGTAACGACATAATCGAGCTGTAATAAACGAAATCGGAATTTCGTTTACTTACTCGGAGTCTGAAGCCTGAATTTTTTAAAGCATATTCTTTAATCTACTCTCTGAAAAGCATTTTACCATTTCTTTAAAATGATTTGGATCATTTTACGAAAATTGGAAAAGCTTTGTAAAAGTGCCTATGATTAAAGTTCAGACATCTTTAAAAAACTTACATATTTAAAGACTGAGCTTCATAAAAGTTCAGAATATTCAAGAAGATTTTTGTCTTTTCAAACAGCTCGCGACTTACAAAAAGGTGCCAGCACTTTTAGTGGGATACCATTATAAAACGGTCGCGAATCCATAAATTATCCATATTATTGTTAAATACTCTCAAATTTAATAATTCTTACTAAAGAATTCATCAAGTCCCCCGTATTTTAGCATGCTTGTAATGTATTTGGTCATCTCTACATCTGTACCTGATTTTTATAGCACATCCTTAATATAACTGTATGCCTAACATGTACGATAATAGTGAAAAGTGTTCCGCTTAGTCTCAGCAGTCCCCACCATGCACCTTCTTTCCATGTTCTGGTCCTTATTTCAATGTTCCTCGTTTCGTGGCCAATCCCCGGAGGACACAGTACTAAGCTCTTTAATTATGTTTATTTATGTATTTATTTTTAATTCCATCGACGGGATCCAACAGGCTGAAAAGCACCTAACCCAGTGTGCCAGCCGTTTCGTCGATGGTGAAAAGAAAGAAAGCATGCTTGGCTAACATACGAGTTCTCGACCTGGGGGAACTTCATAATTTCAGCGGGGAATGCGATTAGCCTGTTGTTTACCTGTTAAGTATTTAGCTTTAGTTTATGAATATAAAAAAAAAAAAAACTATTTTTATTCAAGTTTTGGTATTTACTAACCTTTTTCGTTGTTTTTCTTGTTTAATTTATTGACCACATTAAAGAAATCTAAGTTTAAATAAATGTCTATGTATTTGTCGAGTTTTGAAAAAGGGGGCGTGGGGATTGATCGTCTAGCAACGAAGAAAGAGATGCATGGGAATTGAGAGCATCCCCCCCCCCATGCATGAAAGGTGCATGAGGGAAAAGATTGAGAACAACTAGGCTAACAAGAAAAAGATCCGTGGTTTGAATTTCGGCGAAGACGAAGTTCATCTTTCCAAAAAAAACCTAAAAATCTTTCAGTGGCGCACACTGGCATTTTTGAAGGGGACATTGAACCAGAGGAAAACATGGATAAGTCCTAGAATGTTCTCAGACATGCCTTTCAAGGTTTAATCCATGCTTCCGGGACCGTACTCAGAGGGCGCCACCCCTCCCGGTCGCTGGAGAGGGAGAATTTCCCTCATAATTTAGGATTCATCTAGGCAGAGACCGACGGGCGACCGTCACGATCCACAGGGCCGATCTCCACCCAGACTACTCAATAACTAGTTCAATTCCCACGAGAGGGGTCACCACTCCCTCCCGCAGTACTCCTTTTCTACGGACCTTAAATAAAGAACAAGATCATATGTCCCTCCACACCGACAGAGAGGAGCGAATCCCCCTCAGACGGCCATCACATCAACTATGTAACGTCCCCACCACTAAGGCAGTACCAGTACGGTCCCTGCCAAGCCTGAACCTACCACCGAATAAACGATGATTCTAGTCAATGTGAAGACTGATTATTTGCTCTGCAGGTAGAAACTGTCTAGACACAAGTCTAGCCAGTGGTCTGGAAAAACCCCAGGTCTCCTCCCATAAATGGTCAGTTCCGGTAATTCCACCCATAGAGTTCAGCATCTGTTAGCCTGTTCAGCAAACCACAGAGTTCAGCATCTGTTAGCCTATGCCAGCCAGCCTATATCTAGCCTTTGCCAGCATAGTTTCCAGCGGGCGCCACGAGGAGGCCGATGCTGAACTGAGGGAGACGAGAACAGGAAGACCTGTCTCCATCCCTCATCACCTGCCCTTTGACCAAACGCTGGGTCTCCTGCCTTTCCCCACTGCTTACGACGGTCTCCCGCGCACGTTTCTCGCCGCTCACAGTGGGTTCCAGCCGGTTCCAGACATTTGTCCTCCCGGACAAGTGCCGGCAGTTCTTTCCTAAGATCAGACACCAGGTCTCCTCCCGCCAGCGGTCGGTTCTGGATATCTGTCCTCGGGTCCGAACGCCACCCGCCATTTTTGAAGGGGGGTATCAAGGATCCATTCTCCATTCCATTCTCGAATCTTACCCTAATACGCCGCCAAACAGATTTTTTTAATTTTATCGATTGTCGGGGAAAAAATATAAATAATTGTATAAATAATTAGCATTAATTAATAAAATAAATGATTAATAACAAATACTTGCTCGAATAAGTAGAAAGCACAAGAATTTGTGTGTTTACTTTTTTCATAATTAAAAAAATAAAAACAGCAAAGCAAATTCATTATTAGAGAAGAAGAAAAATCTCACTTTAATCTGTAATTACAAAACTAAAAACATGATGATTATAGTGTTTATATTTACAGTCACCAGTCTGCTTCTATAGGCTTACAAATAGTCACACGTTGTGTTTTATGTTCGAATTTGAAGGGGGAGGAAAAAGAGAAAAGAAATTTTATTTTTTCATTTATTAGAACTGAAATTATTGTTACCTTTGTTTGGAATTATTTTAAGTACTATAGATTATAAGCAATCGGGGGGATGGGAATCAAGGGCCATTGGGAGTCCCCCCCCTTGTGCGCGGCACTGGTGTCTTTATATTTTAACCAGTTTATTTTCATTTACTTACTATTTTTCGAAAACTTTATGAATGTTTAAAAAAGATAATAATTAAAAAATATTTAATATAATACTTACCTCGTTTGTTTCCCTACATACATACAAATTAGTTGGCCATATATACTAAAATTAATGTGTAATTCAGCGCATTAAAACGTTTTTTTCTATCTAAGAATAGTTTTTAAAACTTTGTTTGATAGTCTTCTGACGGTGATCGCGTTCCTAGGCACAAAACTGCATGCTCGATCTGACTGATATATTCATCAAACGGGATGGACAGGTTAAAGTTTTTGAAGTAAAGTCTTTTATGATTTCCTTTTTTATTTTTAATTCATTATAGCTTAATAGCAGGAAATGAAATGTACTTTAAATTATTTTAATGCCACATATTATAAAAAAATATAATAAAGCTTTAAATAATTAAAAAGTGCATAAAATATCAAAAAGTGTTAAATATTAAAAATATTATAAAATATTAAGAGCTTAAATATTGTAAAACACTTTTATTTTCCCTAGGTTTACAGCAGGTGTGATTTGAAATTTAAAATAAATAAAAAAGATCATGCTTTGCCGAATGGCAACACTTTGAGAGCTCTTTATGACGCCAAATGGAAAGCAAATTCAAGAACTTATGTTTTGCGCAGTGACACTTATTCCTGTGGATGATGCATATGTAACGTAATGTAGCGTATTATATATATATATATATTACGACTGCGTAACGCCACGTAATGGTACAAAAATTTCGAAAAGACTCCACTAAAGATGTTTGCATTGTAGAATATATATTTAGAAGTTTGCAAGCTATATGTCGTTATAGAAATTTTCTGTATAAACTAGATTTTTAGCTTTGTTGCAAAGGAAAACGTACAAGAAAGAGAGTCAGACAGAAATAACTAGGTGCACAATATCGCTTCAGACACTACTTTAATTAACTATACTAAAAGAAAAATAACAAATGTTAAACCGTTCGAAGTATCAATATGTTATTAAGACATATTCTCTTTGAAAATACACATTTTTTTTATAACGCACTGTTATTATTTACATGAAGAAGACTTCGTACCGCATCGTTTGTCTATACCCAGGGTTCCTTAAACTGTGGGTCGCGACTCCCACCTGCAGCACGGGTCGCGGAAAATTTTAGCAGTTTTGATACTTCTTTAACTTATAATTTTACAATTACCAAATATTTTTACACAAGGTACCTGAAAACAGATAAAAATAAGACAATACAGACAGAGAAAAAAAACGGAAACGTTTCGATGCATCCTTTTTATAATATAAACATTCATTTTACTTGCTTTGCACGTGATGCTGTCATTTCGTCTGTTATTTATTTAAAGTTTTCCCATTGTTCTGTCTTAAAATTAGAAATTAGAGTTAATGACCTAAAACTGCAATAGTATATTACAGTACAACTGAAAAAAAACTGACAGTTTCACTCACGCGTGTGTCGGATTTGTGCAATATTTATGGAGGGTCCCACAAAATTTTTGTAAACATTATGGGGTCCTGGGGGTCGCGAAAAAATCTTAGAGATAAAAAGGGGTTGCGACTGAAAAAAGTTTAAGAAACCTTGCTCCATACCTTACTACTATACTAGGACCGAATTTTGTTCGCAGAGCGAAAACAATTGAAGGGCGCTTTCAGAAGTAGTGTTTTATCAGCCATTGGCATTAACTGCATGCATAGATTCAACACGGTTCAAAAATGGAAAATTACAAAATATTAGACAACGATCTGCGCTTACACTCTGTGACTTCCGAAAACACATGTAGATGATCAGTATTTGCATCAGCAGTCTTCTCCGCAAGGTCTTATATAAGCCCTTGCAGAGTTTACATAAGACCTAAGCTTGGCGTCGCTAATTTAAAATATCACACACGACCTTAAGCTACTTAGAAACATTAGTAAGCAGGAGGGATCAGAATATCAAGTCGTGCTGTTTTTGCGTCACCTTTACAAGGAAAAGTGTTTTCGGTTACATGTGTTTAACTATGCAACGCGGATTTAAAATGGATTTAACCGGGCAATTCAACAGTGCATGAATTCGAAACCATTGGCAATGACAAAACAAAATATGCGTATCAACGGTGTCCTCATTCTAGCTTCTGTCAATCGGCGAGCAATAAATACTGTATATCGGTAACAAATAGTTCCATTCGTTATCTTCAAGGCAAATCTAGAACACCCACCTATATCCGATTTAGCACGTCAGATTTCAGATACGATCAAAGATTTTATTTCTGTTAGCTTGCTGTTGTGATAAATAAGAAATGGCTTTTTCTTGAATTAAAAATTCTGGGAATGGTTACAATCGCGATTTGCTTACGGCAGAATGTAGGGTAAGAATATATAAATTTCATTCGACTGACCAGCTGATTATAATAATTATTAAAACACCGCTTCAAATTTTGATTATTTCGGACTTAAAAACTAAAGCATAAAGTATCAGCATCGTGACTTAACATAACTTCTGCAAATTTCCCTTGCTTTATGAAATTAGAGTGTTTCCGTGAAACCTTTCTTAAGATGTGTCTTCTTTCATTGAAACGGTGTGAAGAAAGGAGATGCAACTACCCTAAATTTACACAGAGGGGGGGGGATTAGAGCTATCAGGCCTCATATGGAAAAAAAATTGGATATAAAAAAAAATATCTGAAAAATTATAGCTAGTCTTGACACCTATCAGAAATTAAAATATAAATAAATATTAAAAAATCATTTTTTTCCTTAAAGAATTTCAAATTGATCTTCACCTTCAGATTCCGCTTGAAACCTGAAACAGTTTTAAGGTAAAATGTTGTGTCAGGCCTAATAGTTTAAACATTAATTGCCAGAAATTCAATACACTGAACCTAAAATCGTAATTCAAAACGAGCTGTTAAAAACAGCAACACGAAATGTTAACGAAGTGAATAAACTTACTATATTATCCATACATTTAGGCCACGTACAGAATTTAAAAAAGAAGAAAATTATTCAAGACACAGACGTGTCTTTTTCTTCCACTACATAATTTGCGCACGAGGCTTGCAATAAACATTCCCCGCAATTAAAGTGGCATCAATTTCTATTTTGACAGGACGAAATTCGTGTATTAGAAGATATAAAACCTTCTTCTAGGTGGTTAAATGATTAAAAGAAAAATTATACTAAATAACACGTGTAACCTAATAATAACACTAAATGTAAAAATGGCACACAACCGAAAAAGAACTAGCGTATGTAATGCAGTTTCACCTTTCAAGATAAGAAGAAAGACAGCAAGCTTATTGGAATGCTTAGAATTGGTAGATATGAAGATGATGCGTTGTCAGAGATTAAACAGGAGATTATGTAAGACATGGGATACGGGATGCAAAGTGTCATCATCTGCACCCGTGAAACTACAGTTCTTCAGTCTGCGTGTTCGATTATTAAAGTCAATGATAGTAGGTTACTCCGATTGATGTGAATGACTTGAAATAAAGACAGTATGCTTGATCATTCAGACTGATATATATTTATTTCGACATCCTCAGACTGACATTTTTTCTTTTATTTCGTGTATTTTCTTCAAAGGATATCAAAATTTTCAGCACAATTGCCCGAAATCAACGTACACTTTCACAAGTCACAACGTCCAGACTTTGGGTAAAACACAAAATGAATGATATTTTCGCTTTTAATCTTATCTTATCATCCCCCCCCCCACGATATGAGAGAAAATCCTCTTCAGATGTCTTTCGCAAACCGAAAAAGATATTAATATACACCTTTCCTAAGTGAAGTGAGCTAAAGAAAATTTTTGTAAAGCGGAGAAGAAAAATTGTTCTTTGATGACGAAAAATAATTTCGAACCCAAAACGAATTTTATGTACAAGATGTTTTTACATAAAAATTATATTCTTTTTCGGGGCAGCAGAGTATTCCTTTTTAATCTTGATAGTAGATACAGCGTAACTCATGCCACACACATATACAGAGTGATCCTTCTGTTCATCTCTTTTCTAATTCTGCATCCGCATATATACAGGGTGTTCCGTCAACTCCCTGACCATGCTAATATCAATGTTGGCCGCAGCCATGAATTTTACAATGAGAAGAAATTTATGCAACTTCTTTTTCTGAAGACAATGAATGGTAATGCGCATACTTTTACAGAAGTATTATCTGTATAAATTAGCGATGAACTTATACCCCATTCCGACAAGTCTAGGGAGGACTCCAGGTGATTCGGGAGAGAAGAAAGAAGTACAGAAAGCTATGCCCTTTTCGAGTTGAGGATTCAATATCCCATCGGATTTTCTCGACTATGACTTTCACGATGAAAATTGTAAGTTCCCTTCCTCAAAATCGCAGTCTTTCAGAATTGTATTTATTCCAAAGTTTAGCATTTTCTTATTATTTTACATCCTTCGAATTTTTATTTATTGGAAATGTGAAGGAAAATTAACTGTATACTAAAACTGTCTTTTCGGCAGCTTTACCTTTTTGACCATGCACGCTATGATTGTACTCATACCCTCAGAGATGACAGAATGATACACACGTATGATACTTACGTAATATAAGTACGTGAACTGTCAAATGGAAAAACAAGCTTGATAAAGGCCTCAAAAGTTACAAGGTTATTCCTAATTCAAAATGCTGTAAACGAACTTAGTTATTTTTTATTCTACATTCTATATAATGTGTAAATATATACATAAAAAGAATACTGTATTCCCATTCAATTAAAACTTCTTCAAAGAAAATTAGGATTTAAAATATTCGGCTTGGACTCAGACTCGAGATCGTCTTCGCAAAATGGTGCGCTACTGATGGCACAGCTATTATATTTGAAGGACCCAAATGAAAAAGAGGCACATGCTTACAGTTTTTCGAGATTTTGTATAGGGAGACAGCCTCTGACGGCTACTGTTATTTACGAAAAATCTACCATGATGCCACTTGCTCATACGTTAAATATTAACATAATGAAACCTCTAAGACATCCATCACAAAAATAAAGCCCATGCCAAAAGCACATTAGTCGTCAAAAGTTCACTTCAGCCAACAAATTGGAATACGCTCCCCAAACTACGTACGAATCAAATGCAAATACAAAGATTTCCTTTTACAAGTTCATATGCTAAGATGGAAAGAAAGATGAGATACTTAAACTGTTCATTTGGTTGGGAAATTACAACAAAATTCGTATTTACATACTTCTGCCTACAATACAGAGTGAGGTGATAAGTGTTTTGGAAAAAGGCAATGGTATTAAGTGGCTAGAAAAGGATTCTTGATGATAATAAATCGTATAATAACAAAACTGCTACAAAACAATAGTAAATCAAGTGAGCAGAAATATAAAAAGGCATTACTAGAAAAGTTACGGTCCATGCTGCAAGCTAACGTTTTGTAATTTATTATTCTTGATGAGATGAAAGATTTAAAAAGTTTCATCGGTTAGGAAGAACTAGAGAAAACAAAATGCATATTAATTTGGACTGGTAAGCCCTTACAATTTAAAAGAGGCTATGTAAAAAATAAGAAAACTGCAATGACCAACTAAAAGGTTCCTTACAGACATTTATTCGGTATACCAATACTAGAAAAATCGAAATGCGCAAAAATGCAATTTTAGTAGAAAGATATTAAACTTCTGATAAAAAGGAAAAATCAGAATATAAATGAATATGAAAAAGACTTCAAGCTGATATTGCCAGGTCTCATTGCATATACACAAACATAGAACAGGCAAGAATGGTGAAAAAACATATCATATCTACTAGTAGAAAAGATTAGAATAAGAAAAGATAAGTAGAAACCCGCTAATTATATTAACATATTCTCAAGGTGCACGTTCTAACAGAAACCAAAACACGAATACATTTGATTTAAATACTGTTCTCGCCAAAACTGAAATGCATCGACTATACTGTTTTAATGGTGATGCAGTTAGCTAATGGAGAACATTGTTTGTATCAAATATTCTAAAAGTTTCAGTGAACAAACAGCCTATAAAAATACATTTATATAAATCCCGTGTCAACACTTAAGACCTCAGATGTGTGCACGACGTAAAATTGCGATAGATATGCGCATTACCTAGCTTTTCGGGCACTATTAAGCATCTTCATTGCACATGAAAAAGAAACAGCAAAATTTCATGATATGCAATCTAAAATATGAAATTAAGGATTTGCAGTACTACAGTTACACCGCCTGTACATTGAACCGACCATTCATTAGGTCCTTGTTTGATTACGGCAAACTATCTGCCTAAGAGAAGGGGTGCCTTTGTGGAGGTCATTCTAACGAAAACTGGCTCGTATACATGTTCCAGATCACGAAAACGCCAACAATTCATTAGGAAATGATAGCAATAAATAACGTAGACTAGAAATGGAAAACACTGATGATGGATGGGGGGGGAGCTGTAGTATAAATCAAAATATTAGAATGATTTCGGAAACAATAAATATGAGTTAAAATGCTTAGATTGATTTTTGTTCAACTTTAACATATGAACTGTTAACATATGAGCTGCGCTAACATATGAATTTAAGATTTATTAAGTGATCAAGAATAAGTACAGAATTTTTCTTTCTTTGCAGCTGAAAGGGAGGTGAGTGCAGTAAGATACGCAGAAGAGGGTGGAAAAGCCAACGGGGCGTATGTCGCAGATTCAGCGAAGATGTGATGCAAGTTAAGTAAGGTTAGTTAGTCTCTTCTTTCAAAATAAAATTCCGCATAAAAAGGTTGATCCGGGTATTGAAAGCTACACTAAAGTTTAGGGTCATTAGGAAGTTACGTCGGACTAGATCATATGGTTGGCTGACGTCGTATGAGCTATAATACATAACAAAGGAAGTGTCGAAATCATTTAATATTTATTTTGAAAGCCATGCAGATCACGTAAGAGATAAAGAGAAACTGGTACTTTTTATTTATTTATTTATTTATTTTTTAAACTCAATGGGTCACAGAATGTCTTCCCAAAAAGAATTCCTTTCTCCAAATATAAGATTAGATCGTTATAAATACAGACTTATGATAAATTTTCTACGATTGTCCGTTATTGTGGAAAATACAGCAATGATTAGGGAAAAATTGCGGAAAAATTTCCCTAATTTCAATCGCACGCCTTCACACTATCATTATAAAATAACAAAATAATTGATGTCCAGAAACGCTCAATATACTTTTTAAAGCTCATTTAATAAGACAAATAGCTCATTGTTTCAACATCGTCTCCAGTCAATTGCATCATAAACAGGAAGCATAGTCGTGGATGACAGAGTACTGTAACCTAAACAAGAGGCAGAAAGAAATCTTTCAAAAATTGCAGCGAGCTTTTGACAGCTTACGGAAAAACACTCATCTCGTGATTTATTTTATACATATTTAGGCTATAAATATTTCTTTTATTTACACGAAACTTGCGCAGTTTCAAACTTACTCAGTCAGAAAAAATATTTTCTATAGTGCATATCCACATTATCATATTTCAAATAAAAAAATATTCTTATTTAACTGTATTATATCACTTTCTGACCATACTGTTTTGGAGCACTTTGTAAAATAAAACAAAAATACAGAAGACAGCAGCATAACCTGCACTTAGAGAAACATTATATAGTTAACTATCAGTTAAGCCCAAAGTTAAGCATAAACTAAATATGTAATTTTTAAAGTTACAGGCATCAGAAAGTAAAACAGAAATTGCAACTTTAAAAAGAATGGAACCAACAATGTGTCAATTTTATTAATTTATATAATTATATTAAATACTGAGAGACGGGAAATAAAATTTGTTTTCCTGTCTGAATTATTATTTTACTGTAAGTAAAATATTGTTAAGAATTTTGAACATACATAGATAATTTGAGCGAAATTGTATCTTTTCTGTATAATGCAACATGAAAATCTAAAGAAACGATGCTCTGCCGGAAAACACTGAGTACATGGCCATCTCGCTAAATTGGTGAGATATTGCCAAATTAGCGATGCTTCTGGTGATAAATTTTTGGTGCCAAATTTGGCCAGAAATTGCCAAAGGCCGCCAAATTGGGTTACCATTTCACGACATTTGGGTCCGGTCCCTGTATAACTGTAATGGCTTTTGTAATTGAATATCTGCAATTCATCCTCTATGTAGTTGTAAACGTATACGATTCTTATATGCCTTCCAGTAATTTCGAAAAGCAGAAAAAACTAGAAATATCACGGCGGCCAGGTGAAAACTACATGAGACTGGAAAGAGTATCAGTTTATCAGTTGTTAGTAGTTGTTTAGTTCAGCGTAAGCTCGGATACTGAGCTACCTCTGTGAGAGCTTCCTCTTTAGATGCGCTTTGCAATGCATTGTGTTTAACATTCTTAGAAGTTTGAAGTGTAACTACTGACTGTACTCTGCGATACTGTGCAGAACTGTAAGACTATTTTTGCGGAAAGTTCCAGAACTGTGAAGTGTTTCTTTTGGTAAAATAAATTTTATCAAGCTATCATCAGTTCTGTGTGCATTTAAGAAAGACTGTTCCACGTAAAAGGAGAGACAAATTTATATGTTGGTCATCTGATGCACAAAGAATTATGATGAAAAAACAGCTCTCATACGCACTCAAAACTTCCTTATACTTTTCTTTTTAATTGATCACTTATTAAAAAATTCAGATTTTAGATACACTTCGGCTTCGTTCGTCAATTCTTTATATCAGCTCCCGCAACTAAACTAACTTCATATCAGCTCACGCAACTAAACTAACTTCATATCAGCTCGCGCAACTAAAATAAGGGAGGGATAAGATTGACCTGAACTAGAAATGAATTTTACTAATTTTATAGTTTACGTCGCCGTCTTTCTCTTCCATAACATACTGCAATCTCAATGACAAATATTATTTATATATTTTTTCCAGATCTCGTGATTTCATGCACATCTGATTACACAGATTAATTTCATTCTTCCATTACAACCGAATAGAGAAAAAATTTTAGGTCGAGTTTAATTACAAATGTAATTTAAAGAGGATGTGATGTGATATATGGCGGGAAGTGAGATCTACATTTGACATATTATTTTAAACTGAAGAAATGCAAAATTATCCATCCTTCCTTCAAAATTATTCAATATTACTAACTTACAGTAAAACCTGAGCTTAAATTCTGTCTGGCTGCTATATTTTTCATTTACTGACTAAAGTTCCCCGGCGGAGCCCCAAATAAGATTAATTCGAGTAATTTAAATCAACTATTTGTCATTAATTTAACCTAAATTTTTAATATTTCTTTACCTCTTTACATTTTATTTAACTATAATTATTTTGTTTTTTTGTGTTCCTTTATCCTGACAGCCTACCGAGGGCTTCTGCACTTCTAATTTTGGAAATTAAGCCCCGAGTAAAACAGTGAACTAATTGTGTCTTCATCTATTAATACTGAACCACTACAAAAGTAACACATATATTTACTGCTCTTTCGTGCATTACTAGGTCATCATCTTCTCAGTCTAGCTAATGAAAAACCAAATTCTGATGGAATTTAGTATACAGAGGGGTTTGCTTATACATGTAAATCGAATCGATACATGCATAAAATAGGAATTTAAAATAAGGAAACCATATTTCATAAATGTAGGAATTAAAAGATGTAAAATATAGAACGTATAGTAACATTTTGAACCAAAACTATGGGTTCATCAGGTTTGAAAAAATAATAAATGATGCAGAAAATTATGGGACTGAGGATCATAATTATGTTGCAAACTCACAATTTGTCCTACATAAAGGCACTCTTTGAAAACCCACAATTATCTCAACCTTTGTGAATGCTGGCGCAGCCAACATAATCGATTGTGAGAGCCAGAAGATTTCGCATTAGGAGAACTAAGAATTTTTGCTACGTAGGCAGTGCCTGCTAATAGAGGCTCTACCAGTCGTATGTGTAGTAGACCTATTGGGCATCAACCATGCTTCATTCATACGGGTCTGTGTATGCAACTGAATGCTTTGCTGTTGGGCAAATATACACAAATAAAAGTGCACTTTCGTTTTCCATTGTAAACCAAAAAATATTGAAGTTATATCTCACGTGAACTGTGATGGATTGCACAGACATTAATGTTATTAAAAGCCTCAAAAATTGCATTGCACAACTGGAGAAACAATTTTCAAAGTAAGGAAAATAAAACATTAAATAATTAAATACAACCAGCCAAAAAAAATTGTTTTTTTTTTCCTTCAAAAAATTCTGCATGAATCTCTAACGTCCTCTTGTCACACAGATAATTTCAATACTTATCTGTGACGGATTACCCATCTACATTCATACCCAGATACAGCCAACTGTTTAAAAAATTCTGGATTTTTTTTGTCTCTAAAATGAATACTACAGCAAAGGTTACTTTAGATGTATTTGATAATTAGCAATTGTTGCATATTTTTTCTAAATAAACTAGCATGAATTAATGGGAAGTATAAACAATTCGATGATCAGGAATTGTTGTACAGAAAAGATTTCAGCAAAAGTCAAAGGATGATAATGATTTCAAAATTATATAAAATCGCTTTTAACAAACATCAACTGCTACTATTATTGGGTTAATTGTTATCTACTACAGTACAAAGTCCGAAACCCGAACGTCCATTATCCGGAATGATCTAAAATCCCGACCTGAAAGCCACAAATAGTTTTTTTTTTTTTTTTTTTTTTTTTTTTTTTGGTAAGCTTTACACATGCGCATTTGATTTTTCTTTCAATAATAAAACGTGGAGATTTTCACTTAAAAATTCCAATTCTTAATTTCACTTAGGCACTAAATAAAATACCTTGTTATAGAAAAACAATCATGTATACATAAATTTGTGAGAACCAAACGATTACATTTAGTGCTATTTTAATTAAGAATAACTGATATGTTATTCACGATAAATCCAGAAGCGGTGGCAGAATATGTCGGTACTGGACAGCAGAATTTAGGGAAGACGAAATTCTTGGAATTTGGGGAAGCACCAAGCGGCAAAATGCAAAGGGATGCAAAGTTTAGGTGCGGTGAAAATTTAGAACTTAGGAAGGCGCTTTGTAGCAGAATTTAGGACCAGTAGAGACTGCACCATGCGGTATTTAGCACCAGCCCTATATGCGCCGGCATTAAGTATATGTGGGAGTTTATTTATTCAGGACTTAGATTAGTTTTAAGCACATACAAGAAATAAACATAGGTATAGTAAATAACTAAACTAATACAATTCAGGCTTGATTCAGTATGCAATAGGAGCAAGACAAAATTTAGCAAAACAACTTGGCTTTCGTCGCCAATCTTGTGATACACAGCCAATAATGTATCACGGACGCTATTAAGATAAACTAAAATTATCTTTACTGATTCTAAAGCATTTAAGTTAATGTAGTGGACTGCGTTGCTCCCTAATCTTTTAGCTTACTCCAGCTTATTATTTTTTGCAGACTGTTATTATTATGGCTATTTTTTAAAAACTAAACTTGAAATTTCGATTATGTCGAAAAGAGTTTCCAATTCTGGAGCTGCCAAAGGATCTACAAAGCAAAACCATGTTTTGATGCCCACAAAACAAATTGCTGCAAAAAAACGGATAAAGGCATACCTCTCTCAAAATTACGTGAGGAGTATAGCATTGGAAAGTCAACTGTATATGACATAAGAAAAAAGAAAAAGGAACTTTTTGTGGAAGCAACGTAAACAACTTACATTGAAAGAAATGTTTAATAAAGTTAACAAATAAATATTAACCTTTTTTTGTAAATTTTGATACCCTTTAGATCATAATTGTTCTTTATTTCATAAGTTACGATTTCATATTTTTAATTGTATAATTTCTGCATGCCATCTTACCAGATTTAAATTGATGACCTAATATCCGGGAAAATCTCAAATCCGGAATCGCCCAAGTCCTGACGAGTCCGGATTTCAAACTCTGTAACGTACTACATTTAAAAATTAGAAAAATGTTACAGTTAATATTGCTTATGAATTATTAAGTTTATTAAAATGAAGGACTCAGCTGTAAAAAATTTTTAAAACTTAGACAATCTAATACAAAGGGTATATTTACACAGAAATTTATGTGTATTTGTATTTATGTGCTTGCTTACTTAGAGACATATTTTCACCTACCTGCCCCCCTCCCCGCTTCTTAATAGTAAAAAATATAAAGAGGTAAAATTCGAGTTTTACTATTAGGAAACAAGTAGACAAATCTCAATATGTTGAAGCATAGTTACAAGAGGATATTTACCTTAAGCAAACAAAAAATTAAATATTGTAGTTCCTCAAAAACAAGATTCTTATGTTTTATGACAGATTTTAAGAAATAAACATGTGGGTGAATATCTCATTAGAATATGGGTTTGATTAGAATTCATTTGATTCTGATTAGAGTGAAAAGTAAGCTACTTAATTAAATGCACTATTCTACCATTATAATAGAAAGCAAATTATTAAATGTTACTAATGTATTGTTACCTATTTGTTTTCAGGCATAATAATGACTTGTATGGTAGATGCAGGCCTAAGTTAAATTCCAATTTATAATACTAGTTTTAATTTAATAATAATTTATTTTTAGAATATTGAAACACAGCCAAACAAAAAGTCAAAAAACATTATAAAACACAAGAGAGGAAAACAATTTTATTTTAATAGCCTCGCAAAAAAATAATGTAATTTAAACACATTATCATTATTTTTAACACATTTTATTATATCACAATAACATTTTTATGTTTTATAAAACCGTCAAAATTTTAAAATCATAAAAATAAAATTTTAGAAGCTAAAGAGCTCTTAAATTCACTAAAAATAACATCTGAATTTATGACAAATGTAGAATTTATGACAATTTTAATTTCTTGAACATCTAAAGTATAGAACTGATGAAAAATTATCAGATTTTCATGATTATTTTTACCTTTACAAAGAAATTTCAGACATAAAATTTATAAGATAATAATTGCTTTCATTAAAGTTGCAAAACATTAGTGAAAGCTAGCAGGTATGCAATAAGAATCGGCCATTTTAAGCAAATTTAATTGCTTTCCTTACTGCCATCACTTCTGCAGGAAGGATTTTGGGTAACAGGGGAATTTAGGTAGATAGGATTACCATGTATTAAATTCACAAAGACTACAGGAAATTTTTTGGCATCCTCATTAATCACATGACCTTCAAACAAGTCAAGAGTTTGAACAAGTTGGGTAATATAAAATCGTATTACAAATAAAGACCAAGTTCATTCCTAACATATTTTGCCATATGACATAAAACTTGACACTCATTAAATTATAGTGTAATTGAAAAAAAAAATCTCATCTACTAAGAATTGTCTAGGGCAAACAGGCTAACAAGTGTCTTAAAAATACATTTGTGATATTATAATACATAGTTCTCTAGACTTAAAAGAAACGATCAAAGTATGTTAGCTAACTTGTAAAGCTAAGATTCTGAAATATATTAGATGTAACATAATGCATTTCTCATATAGATGTAATATAGTCTAAGAGATACTATTATTGATGCTGATGATATCAATATTGATGCTGATGTTTTAATACTGATCTTTAAAAGACATACTTTTATTTAACTATATCAATAATAGAAATATAAAAATATTGTTAATGTAAAATTCTACATGAACAAAGTGTTAAATAATTAAGCAAATGTGAAAGCCATTCATGTAAAGACTTTTGTCACAGTTCAATAACATTCAGATTCTACATTTCACTTAAAGTTAATTGAAAAAGCTTATTAATGCACAATTACATTTTAGCATCCAAATCAAGACTCAAACATGACTATACATATTAAACTGGGTAAATGAGTTGCATAAGAAAAGCTGAAATTAAACTGACAACTCAAATTAATAACTATATGTATACTTAAAAACCACATAAAAATAGAATAATGGAAAATAATTTAATATCTTGTTAACTGTTTCCCAATTAATATATATTCAGAAAGAACAATAATTTTATTTCTATTAAGCTACTTTATGCAAATGTTCTTAAAAACAGTGAAGAAATATCTATAATTCAATTGAAATTTTAAAAATTCCAAAAATTTCAAATATCTATCTTTGTTAAAGTTGTTATTGCTTAAACACTAGGAAAAATAGATTAAAATTTAATGCTGGGACAAAGAATACCTTATTTTCTCAAACGCATTTAGAATGCTATCTTGTCTAAATTTAATATAAAGAAACATGGTACAAACAAATAATGCTGTCTAAATAAGGTTTAAATTTTTATTTTCATATAATTTATTTTGGAAAATAATACTTTAGTCCCATCAGAATTAAACAAGTTTTCTGAACCTTTTCACATCAAAGTAGACTTTTTTTTTTAAGACATTCAGATATAAAAATAGAAAAAAAGAAATTACGCAACCCAAAATTAAAATATATTACATATTGCTAATTGAACACAAACCACATCAACTAAATAAAAAAATCATTTCTGGTATGTTCAACTGTTTTATTTAAATAATATGTGCACAATGCAATGTGTTAATTTTTGTTTCTATATTAACAGATAATTCAAAGGAAACATGTGAAAGACCACAAAGTACAAGACAAAGAATTGGTTATAAAAGCGTACTTCAGTCATGGTGTAGAGGTCAAGTATCTAAAGGAAGAAGTTTAGAACAAATTCTTAAAAATCAAAGCTTAATATTCACCAATTAATGTACTAATTCATAAATTATGTTGGGTATAAATACCCATGTGTATGATAAAACAAATTTACCAACTTTATACTACATAAGTTGTGATATTTTGCATTATAAGTATTTAATGCTAGTTCACTCATGAACTGAAGCTTGTGATAGCATGCAAAAGAAAACATTCAGATAAGGTGTAAATTATATGAGCTAAAATATATGCTCACAGAACATCTTTTATTTTTCATTGTGTGTGTTTTTATATTTTGTAATGTGCTGTTTTTTAAAAATAAATAATTATTTTACATGTGTATATGTGTGTATCATTTTCAAAAACATTCCCATTCACAGAATGTTTATCACTATTATTAATAAACAGATAAACAAAACATATGTAAGAGATAACACTTGATGTAAATATTATTACATAATTAAGACACAATAACACGCCGAATGTTATTGTGTCTTAATGTTATTGTGTTATTCGGCGTGTTATTGTGTCTTAATTCTAGAAGCCCCAAACAGGCTTACATTTTGCTTTCTTTTTTGCACGTGGTGTGGCCGCCATTTTGTGATTGTAGGAGTTTCGGTGAGTATATTTTTGCAATTTTCAAGTTATGTTTATGTTTTGTACATTTGGATATTGTGCTTTGCTTGTCTGATTTCATGCATTTTGCTTACAAACATTTTGTTTTCTATTCATTTCAGTGAGGGATTTTTCTGCTGTTTTGTGTGTACTTTATTATTGCTCAGTTAATTTAGTTTGATTTTCTGCATTGTTTATCATGCCTTCATCCGTTAATCGTTTCACTAAATTACGCCTGAAACGGCAAAACATTCCTGAATCATCTTGACTTTTTACTTAAATGTAAATGTAAAAAATTGATCCCCAATTTTATTCAAATCAAATCTAATCTCAAAAACCTTCGAGTCGCGTTTCAAGAATTCTGTTTAAATTGCAAACTTGCCTTACTTCGGTCCGTGATAAGGGATACACGTCAACAATTGTCCAAAATTGAACATGAACTCTATAAGCTTCATCTGGAACTCGCTAAAACATATCCAAAATTCACTGCCCTTGAACAAAAGTCTTGGTCTAGAACGGAGGAATGCAGTTAAACCGTCATAAAAACATCCTTGCAGTTAAATTCGAAAAAACTTCTTTTACAGTCTTCCAGTTAAGTAGTTCAAAAAATCTTCCCATTGTAAACATCAAGCCAATAGTTAATATTTCTAATGTTAGTCTTTCAGAAGAACAAGAGAGAATTCTAAAATATAATTTTAACTTCTCACAAAACCTGTAAACCCTCGATTCCAAAGATTTTGGCTCCTATCGAAAAAGCTTTCAAGTTCAGTAAAGTTTCAGATTCACAGAAAGAAATGATTAGGCATCTTATCGCTCATAATGTGAAATTGAATAATAAACCTTTGAAACCAAATCTAACTGCGAGAGAAAGAGCTACAATGCGCGAGATTCATTCTAACCCGGATATTGTCATTTCAAAGGCCGACAAAGGTGGCCAGATAGTCGTCATGGATAAGAACACTTACATCGATGGTGTCACTAAACTCTTAAACGAAGGACCATATAATCCGATCCCTAAAGATCCTTCACCTTCGGACTTATCCAAAAAAAAAACTGCGATCAAATCTTCGCAAATCATTTCAAGCAACTTAAACATTCGCTTATCCCATCTGTTGCAAATTGTGCCAGATTATATGCTCTTCCCAAAATTCATAAAAGTGGTATTCCTTTCCGCCCTATTGTATCAAATTTAGGTACTGCCTCGTATCCATTAGCTAAATATTTAGTTTCTAGATTTTCCACTCTATTAGACAATAACATTTACACCATAAAAAATTCAATAGAGTTTGTAAAAGTAATTTACTCATGGTTTCTTTTGATGTAAAATCATTATTCACCAATGTCCCAGTGGAGGGTGCATTAAGATGTCTAGAAACCAGACTTCGCGAATTTCATTTCTCTTGCATCGAAATTGATGAGCTAATTTCTCTCACTCAACTCTGTTTGAAACAAACACATTTTGTTTTCCAAAATAAATATTACAAGCAAACTGAGGGATTAGCCATGGGAAGCCCCCTCAGTCCCATCCTGGCTGATATCTACATGCATTATTATGAATCAAAATTGTTTGAAACTTTAAACTTCCCGGCATGGTTCCGCTACGTAGACGATACTTTTACCCTGTTTGAAGGTAATAAAGATGATTTAAATAGAGTTCTTTCAACAATGAATTTATTGATCCTGCTATTCAGTTCACTTTTGAACTTGAGACTTGCAATTCTCTTCCGTTTCTCGACATTCTGGTCACACGTAACACATCCAACTTCAGTACTACAGTTTACCGTAAACCTTCATCGGTTTGCCTTCCACCACACTTTAAATCATGTCATCCGACTAAACAAAAGTTAGCTTCATTTTATTCCTATGTTTTCCGTGCTCTTCAAGTTTGCTCCTCCAAACTAGCCCTTGATGAAGAACTAAATTATTTAAAAGCAATAGCTATTGACAGGGGCTTTTCACCCAACATTATTAATCAAGCAGTTAAAAAATTCTCATCTCAACACACTAAAAGCCACACTCTTATTTTAGGAGATTAATAAAAATTCTGTTGTCATTCCCTTCTTTCCATCAATTAGCTATAAAGTTGCACATATTTTGCAGAAATTTAACTTTCGGGTTGTTTACTCTCCCATCAATAAAATTCCAACTTCTATACTCAAGGACCCCATTCCGGATATGAATTCCTGGGGTATTTATAGGATACCTTGCCAGTGCGGTTTAATTTACATTGGCCAAACTAAGAGAGCCTTAAAATTTCGCGTCAAAGAACATGAGGCATATGTTAGAAAAAAGGAAACACAGAAGTCTTCTGTTGCTCAACATTGTTGGTCCGAAAATCACACTTTCAATTTTTCTGCTGCCAAAATTATTCAAAAAACATCTTCCATTGGAGAACTGGATTTTCTAGAGGCATTTCACATTCATAAAAATCTTTCTGTTCTAGTTAACGATCCTAATTCCAATCCAAATTTGCCTTCGACTTTTAGAGAAATTATGTTTTAGTTCTGGTTTCACCAACAGATGGCGCCACTTGCTTATTCTTGTCCAGGCTTTCTTATCTTATCTAAACATTATTTCCTATCTTGTTCATTTGCGGTTTTGCAGCTGAAGATGATGGTTCGGTAAAACCATCGAACTAGTCCTGTGAAAATTTTGTGAATTAACGCTGATTTTTGTTGTTTGACTTCTGAATCAGTATTATTACATAGTTTTATTATTAAAATTTGGCAAAATTAAGAAAATGGTTTTTAAACATGGTACAAATATTATAATTGAAAATAATACTATTACTAAAATAATACTAATAAATTGAAAATACAAAACTTCATAATGTAGAAGAAAATAATGTAAATATTAAATAGAATTTGCGCAAATTTAAAGAGGGTTGCATGATGATAATAAAATCATAAAGTAGAAGTGAAAATATGTTCAAAGAGGCTATCATTATACAGAAGTATCTCATCACTCAGTTATCCAAACTTGCTTCAAACCTGCTTGATGCTTTTACATGTTGACTGCTAAATACAAGACAACTGATTGAAAACTATCTGCTAAGACGACTGACAACTAGATTTTGTCCTGATTTTTTTTAGGCTATAGTTACTTGTAGAAATATTTATTTTTTTAGTGTTTGCTAAATTTGCAAATGCTGTGCTTTTTGGCACTTAAAGCATTAGCCATCTTGTCTTGGAATTAAATCTAATAAATGCAGAATATGTTTTTAAATGTTCCTCATGCATGAGTTGTCCTTAATCATGCAGTGAATACTTCATTGAATTCTTCAGTCTGATTAAAACAGATAAACATTAAGGCTGTCATGTCCAATAGAAGATGAAATGATCCCACAAATGAAGTTTAAAAATCTTGAATACTATATACCTTATTAAGGAAACACAGCCAAGCCTAAAAATAATGTTGTAGGTGTATAATGTGTGGGTGTGTAACGAGGTATGTCTCCTAGAGGAGCACCCTAATAATAATAAAACACTAAATCTACCACAACATTACCACTTCTGCTTCTAATTCTGAATATTCAAATTTATGATTTCATTTGTTGAAATAATAAATATGCTTCAATAATTTATGACCAATAATGTCATCATTATCTATAAGAAAGGAGAATATATAACAGTGATATTCCCAAAAAAACAGCAACTATGATAATATTTCACCATTGCCTTCTAATGCATTACAGTTTCTTCTAACTACATTAAAACGGACATAACTATTTATGACTACGCTGCATAATTGTGGTTTCCTACAGAAATACACTGCTTGTCGACACACATAACTTCTTCTATACTGAAGATACATACAATCTCAAAACCTGAAATGTGCTAGTAACAGTTCTGAAAAGCATTTCATCTTCATTGCTTGGACATAATTAAATATCGTCCTCTATTACTTTCTTGAACCTAATTTTAACAAAAGTATATGGAAAAATATATTGAATGTAATTTGGTAAAATCACAGAAATTTCGAGAGATGCCATTATAAAGTTTCATCTTACATTTAAATCGCTTAATATTTCTAGCTAACTAACTGTAAAATGATTTCAAAAACTGAGGATCCACCAGAATTTCTTTAGATAAATGATACTTTCAAAGAAATTAACAAACTTAATAAATTTATTAGTTTATACACCAAACAGATAATTATATAAGAAACAGTTATACAGAAAGCTGAATATAAACATTTGACAAAAACAAACGAAGACCTCGATGCACATCCAAAGGAAAAATAATTGTATGAAAATTTCTTTCTTAGAAATGTGATGCCTATTAGAATTATTCAGACCTGTACAATAAACATATATGAAACTGCATCCATGCCCTTTAGCTCTGATGAAGGGGCGAAAGTCATTTTTAGCATCTTAAGTCTCCTAAATATGACTTTTTTTTACTTATATATTTCAACATTTGTAAAAAGATAATCAGGAATTCAGAAAGAAATCCCATGTTGAAAGAAGCTGCATACATGCAGCTTTCTTGACTGGGATGCCTTTCATGTTTCTAAGCTCTTAAAAACACAGGTGATGTATTTCACTTACAATTGCATGGTGGTTTATGTACGTAATGAAGATATTTTACGTGTGGCTGCAATGTGATACACACCTTAACAGTATTTTAATATGAATATAAACCTTATCTTTCAATACTTTTACGCTGCAGAAGAGGACTGCTGACCCTACAGCCATAAAATTCACCTCACATTATTGTCCTCCTAGCAGAAGTAATCTAATACTGCTGCTCCGCCTCCACAGGGAAGAGTTATCAGAAGAGACTGCTACAACCACATGATGAATAAGAAATTCACAAGGCTATTACTGCTGCTCTGCCTCCACAGGAGAATTGGCAGAACAGACTGCTACAACCGCATAATGAATAAGAAATTCACAAAGCCATTAACAGCAATGTATAAGTCCTCACAGGCTATACAGTCTTGCACTAATCACTGCCTAAGTAAGATGACTGTTGGTCCTGTGTTCAGATAGAGATTACTGGTTCTAAGTTTAGAACTTAATAAGCACAGTTACAGTATTGCAAATTTAAGATACATGAGTCTGCATCATATATCTGTAATGCAGATTCATCTTTCAATACTATCCAAGTACTATTAATTAGTAATTTTATGTTGCTAACTTTCATATAACAGAAAAATGCTGTCGGAGAATAGTTCCTCAGCATGGCAGATGTCATAGACCACTTTGTGCAAAAAACTTAAAATTGGTAGACATGTGACTATTCTATTGAACTCTCTAATCAAAAACTGGTAATTAAAAACAAATGAAATTGCTTGAATTCATTTTATTCTCTAGAACCTAATAAAGATAGTACTAGTATTTAATTCATATGCCTTTCTAAAAGACCCTATCATTATGATCACAACTTTAACAACAAATGTGTCTGAAAGTATTTTAGCTGATACTTCTTATAGGATATGTTTCATATTAGCTTTTCTTTTCATTTTATAATTTGAAACACTTGCTTTGAGTATATGCAAAAAATTTCAAAGAGAGTGATGCCTGACGATTGACCTGGGATGTATGATTGTCACTTACAGTGATAGCCATGAATTTACAATATATAGTTTCATGCTTTGGTTTCTATTCCAAAATATTTAATTTCTATCTAAACTAAACTTGTTTTTCCCAATGGCAGATTGTGAACAGTTACAGTGTAACACAGTCCATTAATATATACAAGGCCAGATGTGGTGGTCTCTTTATTATGGAGGCACCTAATAGGTGCACCACCATCACCTCCTATAAAGGGACGGACAGTTACAACCATGCCTTCTCCAGGATTCAAACCCAGGCCCTTCAGTATTGCAGTCAGGCTTCCCTAACCACTATACCATCTGGGCGGCATCTAAACTTACCAACAATATTTTCATACTATCCATTAGTGCATTAAATAAACAAGAGTGGATAGCACTGTTGATAAACAGAAGTGTAATAATTTACCTTGCAACCATGTAGTCCCTTGGTATTTGAGAGCTGGAGAAGCTCAGCTCTCAATCACAGCTTGCTGCTGTAAGCATTAGCAGTGTACAATTCGGTGTTACCAAAAATACTAAATCTGATATCATCACCAAATCCCAGAAGCTTTGAATTTTTAATTAATGGACCTCAGCAAGCACTAAAGTCTTGCTTCTATTTTGCTATCAGACCAAGATTATACTGAAGCTTATTTTGACCAAGATGATACTACTGTAGGACTGGTTGAAACCATTTCGCTAATGTTTTTCTGCCTCGCTCATTTTATCATTCAGTCAAACTGCTAATTACATATAACTTTATGCTTTCTTCACTGTCTTAAATATGTTAAAGAAAAGCACCACTTTATAATTAAACTTAAAAAAATTATCACTATTAAAATGCTTTAACTTGCTGCAGTTAAATAGTAAAAGCATTAGCAGTATGGAATAAGCATAAAATAAGGTATTAATAAATATCTTTAAATAACAATATGTAAGGATGAGGATATAATTTCAAAGCAATTAGTTCTTCTGTGCTACTTAAATATGGATTAAGTTACAACAATAAAATCAAAATTGTATTCACATATAAGATTAACCATTAATATGATAACAGTAAATTATGGTAAATATAACACAGTTTTTCAGAAATACGAGGTAAAGTTTTCAGCTATGGAAGGAACTGTATCACTAAGTGGCTGAGTACGTAAAGAGGGCTGAGTATAACATTCCCTTTCAAAATGCTTTGAATATAAAACTGAGTAATTGGTTGTTTGCCAGATGCATTCTGCTTAGTAGTGCTTCCAGAGAACCTTTCAAACTTTTAAAATGTGGTAAACTTAAGTATTTATTTGTACTTACGGAAGAGCAACAGAAAATCCTGGAATGACAAAAGCCTTTATCGAAAAAGACAACCGAATTCTTCATAACTATAACAAGCACACAAGATTGTTCCTTACGAAATTTATTAACAAAATATTTAAATAACCATTGTCTGGAAGCAACACAATGACTTCAGGCAATGAATAAATTGCAACAGGCATGACTAAATATCTTTTCAGTAGCTGCACTTACGTTTTCATATTATTTATATTAGATATTGTACTTATATAAATAATAATAAATAACCCAATATTCACTTCTCCAGAGAAACATTATTTCTTACATACAGTTTAGTAACTTTCTTACAGGGAGAAAAATGAGAAAAATGTAAAAAAATAAATTAAGAAAAAAAAGCCCTGATAATCTTGAAAATTCTTTATATAAATTTTTAAAAATAAAACTCAAAATTACTTCCAGCTTAAGAAATAACAAAAGAGATAAAAGAGACTAATTTTTAACCTTAAAATATATTCTGTTAATATTCTATGATGAAAATTCCCTAGTGAGTTAACATATAGCATAAACATTACTTTACTGCCTCCCTCAATTTTCAGGTAGTAAAAATTAATACAATATTATGCATTCTTAACTTATCATAGTGAGAGAATGCCTGCTAAAGGAAGTTTTAGCAGAAATTACTTCTGTAATAAGTCAAAAGTTTAATATACCAGAAATATTTAGCCAAGCAAAACTAAATTAACATATACATTAACATATTAACATATCTGTGTGTCAATGTAATTGCTGTGCAACCAAAATTTAATATTTCATTGAATTTTATAGTCTTCCAGGTTTTAAAATTACTCAGTCAAATATCTTTTGTAAAATAGGCTTTTAAAGCAATATCTTGTGGACTGCAGTCTCTAAAAATATGCTACAATGCTATTCAAGGCATAGAATTGCAGTGCACTAAGCTACATCTTATATTTGCAAAAATAACTTTTAGGCAAAATAAACTAGGATTTAAGAAATAATTACATCATTTTCCTCACTCTTAAAAGTATCAAATCACAGTTTTCCTACATTCAGAATGTTTCAGGATCTACTTACCCAATTATCTATAAAAGATGGCTTGAATCAAAATTTGGATTACAAACATGTCACACGTAAGATCCTATGGATTAGAAAAGTTAAACAGTTTACATAAAATATCAACACAGTATATACATACAAATTTCAGACATGCAAAGATTTTTATTAAAGTACTTCATAATGACTTCAAAGTATGGCTTAAGCTTACATCAATTTCCTTACAGCTAGAATTATAAAATTATAAACTTAAACATTTCGCAGATACTTTACCACATAACTACATAAATTAAAATCAATTTCTAAGTTATTAATTAAGTATGTCAAGTAGAAATCATTCAGTCAGTCTGCTTGATAAAAATTACTATTGATAAAATTTTAAATTACAATTTTTAAAAACCCTACCATTTTATAGAAGACCATTTTGCTTTTGGTAAATTATCATATCAAGATAAAATTTGGTAAATTATCAAGAGCAAGCATCCATAGATCTCCACTGCATTATTCATTTGGTACCACCTGATTATTCTCAAGCACAGCACAAAGAAAGCAAACATAGTGCCAAACCTGTTAAAAACACTAACGAAATGTGAAAAAGCTATGATATTTGAATTATGAGGGCATTAGGAAGAGCTGAATTGGAATTAATGTTATTAACTAAAGAAGGTAAATTTTTATGAATGAGAAGGGCTTAAGGAAATCCAGTTCACCAAAAAGCTGTGGTTAATTTTCAAAGAACCAAAATCAAAATGGCTGTTAAGTGACTATAAATAGCTAATGAAGATTTATGTTTCTGATGTGAAATTTTAATGCTGTTTTACTCTGTTAATGTTGATATGTCACATTATACCGATATTATTACGCTATAATTTTCCCAAGAGTTAAAATAAAAGATGGGATCTTCAGGAAGTGAACACTAAATTTTAATTCTTCTCTTTCTTTCCCCTCCTAATTTTAGTTCTCCAGTCACATGTTTCTCTCCAAATCTGGGAACGTGCATAAAATGTGATAAATATGAGTCATGATGTTAAATAACTAATTTCTGGAAAATGTTGATATGATATGCCACTTTGGGTTGGTCAGTAAAGGAAAAAAGAATAAAAATGAGGAAAGAAATTAATTTGCCCTCATAAATTAACTTGGACAGTGACTTCAGTCAGATTAGGAAAAGTACCAGGCAACTTTTTAATATGCAGAGAATCTTAACAACACTTATTTTTCCTACTTGATGTGATAACCTGAATAACAACCTAAATATTATATACATCAACTTTGTATACATTATTAATGTTATAAGAGTGGTTATCAATGTGAAGCAAAATTATATTTCTAGAAAATTAAATCATAAATATTAAATTATTTAGAACATGCATGAAACAACTAATAGCAAACATTCTTGAAAGTGTTAAACTCAATTAGATATCAATAAGCTTAACATTCAAATTAATTGTAAGTTAATGATGATGCTCATTTGTCTCCTTAAGGTTCATATGGTAGAAAACACATATATAAGATCAAGAAATCATAGCATTACTTTTCTGGGACTGAGAGATTAAATTTGGGAAACTTATTTTCGATACCGTTTCGTAAAACTCTAATTTTGGAACACTGAGAAACAACTGCTTGAAATGATTGTTATATTGCTACTGATTTAATTCAAGCTGAAAATCTGGCCTCACTGCTTCAGAATTTGCATTAAAAGACATAGTGAAAATATCCAGTTCTGTTTGAATGGCACTGAAGTCTTTAAATCTGCATTCATACTCAAAATTGTGTTTTTTCAGGCTGTCTTCATAGAAAAAGGAAAGCAAATACCTTTATTCATTTAGACAGATTATCAATAAATATTGCTTTCCAGAAATTTTTCAAGGGAAGATGTAAGTCTAGTTATACTTGTCTGTGCTCATGTCAAATGTTAAGGCAGTAGGGAGAGTTTAAAATGTGCGAACTCTTCTACATGAACTCGTTTTCTGCATCAATCACATAGCATCCCTCTCTGTTTTGGCACAAGATAAATATAACATACATATTACATAGAGCTTGTGCCAAAACAGTTATCATATAATATACAACATATATTATATACAGTATATTTGTAGAGAAAGGGTTGATGATGAATAAGCATTACTATAATCATCACTATAAGACATCTAATGCCCAAACTAAGATTTATTTATTTACATTAGAATGAAAAAAAAAGGAAAAAGAATAATCATAAAATCATTTTGGACTTGTCTGTCTTTGCCACCGTTCAGCTTTCGTCTTAACTGCACACATTCATTCAGACGGCGCTTCTTACATAATCTTACTCAGTTACAGTTACAGCTCCCATATAATTCGGCCATCTGACATCATGATCATCTGTCCTCAGAAGACAAAAGCTAACAGTGGAATTTAACATAACACTAATAGATACTATTCTGTTTTGAGGACCGTAAAAAATCGCCAAACTGATGATGCCAGTGCTGCCAAAAATAATTGTGGCAACCCTAACATAAGAAAGGAAGTCTAATAGTAAATAACTATCTAAAGATTATTGTTTTAATTTTATATGAAAGGTTAATTTCATATAATACTTTTTTAATATAATTTATATAAAAAAGGCTAAACATAACTGAATGGAAGCATAAGAATAAATAACTTTCAGATCATTAGTATAATTTATATAAAAAAAAAGGCTAAAGATAACTGAATGGATTCCTGCATCGCTATTTCGTTACCGACTTATCACTAAAGTATAATTTCATCTCACTGGTTGTTCAAACATAATTTTCTATAATAAATAATGCCTTTTCTTTGATAAAATTCTATAGCAGACCTTTTGTCATGAGCAATTCCCAAACTGTTAAATCCATAGGATATCAAAAAAGGATTTAAAAATTAAACTAACATTTCAATGGCGTCTTAAAAAATATATAACTATCTAAACTTACGCAATTTGAAATCAGCACGTAAAATAGATTTGGCGTGGAGTTAAATGACAGTGTTTGATATATTTGGCGCTTTTGCGCATACATTTTTGCTGCAATTGTTTACGGTCCTCAAAACGGAATAGTACCCGCAAATAGTATAATATACTAATACTATTAAACAATGAATGAAAATACTAAATTAACACAAAAAAATGAAATATTCAATCTGGATTTTCTAATAACAGCACCTAGAAAAATAAAAAAATAAAAAATAATAGTTAGTAATCATAATCAAAGAAAAGATGGATAGGATTAAAAAAAATAATAGTTAGTAATCATAATCAAAGAAAAGGTGGATAGGATTAAAGTCCAAATGTGTAGATCAGTTCATATGAGAAAATGTCTATAAAACACTAAAGTTCAGGTAATATGTTCTGATGAAGTCCAAGGTTTCATAAATTCAGTGCAAGTGCTTGTTTTCATAGGTCCATTGAAGAAAACACATTTTTCAACATCATAAGTGCTATAAGGCTTGATTTCCCCGATTTTGTATGGTCCGAGAAACTTGGGTTTCAGTTTAAGACCAGGTCAATATTGTGTACGCTTGATTGCCACTACAACCATGAAGCTGGAACTTATGGTTTATATTGCAGATTGTATATTTTATGATTTCCAGCCTGCACTTTCAAAATCCTTTGTTTAGCTTCTTTGCGAAGATCATCACGAGTGTTGAAGATGTCTGACTGGATCTCTGCTTTTAACAGCTCTGTAATTTTATCATGATTAGTAGATTTCATTTTAGTTCCAAAGATAAGTTCAAATGGAGTTGTATTTATACTGCATTGGCATGTGGGAATTGATCACTTGCTGAACTTCAGAGACACATATATATCATTTTGATGGATTTTGAATGGACAATTTGGAGAGAACAGAAATTATGACAGAATTCAATCTCTCAATTTGTCCATTGACATGAGGCAGTCACGTGGTAATTTGAATGTGCTGGATATTGTTGGTTGAATAATAATCTTGAAAATCTTTTGAAGTAAATGCTGAGTCTTTATCTGAAATTATATGCAAAGGATTTCCAAAGACAAATTTTTGATTTTCTAATTCAGATATTACTTCACCATTATCAGTAGGTTTTGTTTGGAAAAGCCATACAGGCATAATCATAATCAAAGAAAAGGTGAATAAAATTAAGATCCAAAAGTGTAGATCAGTCAGAGTAAATAACAGCAAATACACACTTGTAATTCTTATGAGTACTTTAGAGTGGTCCTAAATGATCAATGTGATACGTATGAAGTGGTACATTTTGTTTGAGTATAGAATGCAACATACCTTCTTGTTTGCCACATTTACGATTACTTAGTATGCAAGGGACACAATTTGCAACATAGTTGTCAAATTCATCTTTAAGTTTAGGTATATAAATTCTTGTTTGATGAATACTTCGGTTCGTTTAGAAGTGAAATGTCCATGAAGATATGCATCCTTTATTGTATCAGTTTGCATTGATTCTGAAACAACAAGTAATTCATTATTGTCTACAAATTTATAAAGTATATCAGCTCTAACACTATAGTCATCATAAGTTTAAGACTTAATTTTTAAGACTTCTTTGATAGCTCAGATGTGATCATCTTGCTCTTGAACATTTTGTATTTTCAAAATGAGGCTATCCTCATTGATATGAGTGATGAGCATACCAGGGGATCTGCTCAGTTATCATTCGTGTTCTTGTTCTGTGTTCTATTTCGTAATCGAAATCTTCTAACATCAATGCCCGACGTGCTATTCATATATTTGAATCTTTCTTGTTCATCATCATTTTGAACACATTACAGTCGGTAATAATTTCAAAGTGTTTACCTAAAAGATAACCCCTAAATTTTTTCAAAACTTAAATTACAGCTAATACCTCAAATTCATAACTGGTAAATTTCTTTTCTGCATCAGATGCGCTTTTTACTCGTGTAATAAACAGGATGTAAGCAATTATCAATCATAGATCTTTGCATGAGAAAACAACATAAGCATGGGTACTGGCATCAGTGTGTATTTCAGTCTTGCTGTGCTGATTATAGATGCTCGGTACATGTTTTTCACATAAACATTGTTTCAAAAGATTGAAAGCATTTCTTTTGTTGTCGCCAAAGTGGAAGTCATT